GTGCTTTTGCATTTATCAAGTTAATAAAAGGAAATTAAGCATATTATAAAGTGTCCATTTATGTAGCAATTTTTAATCCAAAGCATAAAAATGAGAAGCACATGCTTAATAGTTGGCACTATGGCAAATATCTAGTTCAAAATTTTAAAGTGCAAGAATTCTAGACGACTTACTTGAAATACTTTTATATTAAAATGGCTAATCCACTCTCAATTTAGCATTTTAGATCACAGATAATTGTTCTCAATTAAACTGCATTATAACTTGAAATTAATACATCAATTATTCAACAGGGCTACCTTGCTTCCCTATTGAAATAAAAAAAAACAAGCAAAATTTATGTACATCAGAAACCAATATAATATTATACATCGACTATAATTTAAAATAAATTTCAAAAATATTCCATCCAGCTGTTCCTGAGTTATATTAAAATGATTATTGATAGTTAAATTAATATCTAGAAAAAAGCAAATATAAAACAGTTTATGAAGAATGACATGTAAAAATTTAATCAGGAAGTATTCATGGTGTAAATGCAAAGTCATGAAGAGACACAACAAATAAAACATGTATGTCTATGGAGCTCAATTTGAGAATGTTTCTCCTTGCTTACCTAACTAACCCCAACAACAAGAAACAGTAGGTGCTCTTGAAATTTTCAAATGAGTTCCATAAACGTTTCTGAAATCACATTATTGATTGATTCCAAGTCTACACATTCTAGAGACAGCAGCGATTTATCTAGCTACATTAATTTATCTGGCTATATTAATTTCTGTTCATGGCCCAACAGAATCTAAGCCAAATTATTTACTTAAGAAACAAATGCCTTTGAATAAATTGTCTGATTTAATTACATTTAATCAAATTGTCTTTTCTTTGATTTCAAGGTTTGAGGCTTCTTCCTAAGTTATACTTTTTCTTTTTCTTTGTTGATTAAGGTATTACATATTTGTTATTATCCCGTCATTGCCCTCCCCACACCCCACTCAACTCTCACCCCCTGATGTCTGTGTCCATTGGTTAGGCTTATGTGCATGCATACAAGTCCTTTGGTTGATCACTACTCCGTATCCCAACCCTCCCCTGCGTTCCCTCTGAGGTTTGACAGTCTGATCAATGCTTCTCTGTCTCTGGATCTGTTTTTGTTCATCAGTTTATATTGTTTAGTATAAGTTCTACTCTTGTCCTTCATGGGAAAGCTAAGCTATTTTTACAAAGAAGGGAATAAACATTAAATTTAAAGAATTAAGAAATTTTACAATCCCCTTTACTTTTCCTTCTAGTACCTAAGAATGATTTTTTATCCTCCTCTTCCTCCAGTTCCCCAATTCTTTCTCCCTTCCCCCCTCCTCCATCTACCTCTATCATCCTCCTCCACTAGCTAAAATAATAAATACTAAAATAATTTTCTATTTTTCTTTGTATTCTCTTGTTAGGTACTATTGTTCAACTCAAATTATTTTGGTACTCAATTTTGGATTTCTTCCAAATTGCTAAACTTCCATATTGTGAAACTTAATAATAAAATAAAATGTACTCTACCTACCCCAGGCACTTTGTAATTATCCTAGACAGATAATTATCTTAATTTTAAAGATAATTTTGACAATTTTGGCCTTTTAAAGATTATGCTGCTAGACAAGAATTTTTGAAGAAGAAGAAACCAACATAAATATATGGTAAAGTTGAATTTGTTTTACTTCATCGGGGACTATGATCTTGCAAATGGCTGCTATAATGATATATTAACTATTAAATTAACAGAAGTCAATACTAATTGAGTAAATTAATAGGAAACCCATGTGAAATTTTTTAAAAATATATTTTATTGATTTTTTACAGAGAGGAAGGGAAAGGGATAGAGAGTTAGAAACATTGATGAGAGAGAAACATTGATCAGCTGCCTCCTGCACACCTCCTACTGGGGATGTGCCCACAACCAAGGTACATGCCCTTGACCGGAATCGAACCTGGGACCTTTCAGTCCACAGGCTGACACTCTATCCACTGAGCCAAACCAGTTAGGGCCCATGTGGAATTTTTTAAGCTACTAGTTAGGTTTTTGTCAAGTAGAGAGCAAGATGAGATAGATTATATGTTCATTATGTAGGCAAACTATTTTCAATTGTTCAATCATTCATACATGCAGTCTTTTATGTATTGAACAAATAGACAGTAAAGATGTGCTACATTCTGAAGACCCTGTTAGAGATTGAGGACACATAGACAGAGAAGCCAATCTTTTATTCTATAAGAAGATCTGAGTCTCTTGCCCTATCTGGTTTGGCTCAGTGAATAGAGCCTCAGCCTGCAGACTACAGGGTCCCAGATTAGATTCTGGTTAAGGGCACATGCCTGAGTTGTGGGCTTGATCCCCAGTATGGGGCGGGCATGAGGCAGTCAATGATTCTCTCTCATCATTGATGTTTATATCTCTCTTTTCCTCTCCCTTCCTCTCTGAAATCAATAAAAATATATATTTTTTTTAAAAAAAGAAGAAGATCTGAGTCTGAAAAGGAAGAGGGATATGCTAACAGATGAGTTTCTTTTGTTCACGTGAAAAGCAAATCTACTTCAACCCAAATCTACTCACCTTCTTTCTTTCACCATTAATTCCCCTCCATCGCTCAGACTTTTTTGACTATACATTGAGTGGCCAGATTATTATGACCACCTGATGATTATAGGCAAATTAGCCGTACACTGCATTGTATGGGATATGGAAGCCGAAGGCCTGTTTGAACTCCTTTGCTGTCTGCAGTTATCAAGATAAAACGTCTCCAATTCACACAGGAACACAAGGATTGGACAGTCAAGCATTGGAAAAAAGACATGTGGTCTGATGAATCACATTTCCAGTTGCATCATGCAGATGGCAGAGTAAGAATTTGGTGGAAACAGCATGAAAACATGCACCCCACAGGCATGAGTACAACCCTTTAAGCTGGTGGGGGCAGTGTTATGGTTTGGAGCATGTTTTCCTGGCATGATTTGGGCCGTTTAATTCATGTGGAACAACGCCTGAATAGCACAACATACCTAAGTATCGTTGCTGATCAAGTTCATCCTATCATGTTGATGGTGTATCCCGGTGGAGATGGCTTCTTCCAACAAGACA